CCCACCTTCATGCCATCTCTGCTTCTCACAGTGTGGTGCTGCCACATCTCTAGAATTCATATCACTAAAACTTGGACAGATTTTGCACTAAATTTGCAAAACATACCAACTCTGTGATTAAGCAGCAAATAAATATATATTTTTTTTATTGCTAATGGGGTGCGACTAAGTTCCTTGTACTGTGGTCACTTCTGGCATATTGTTCCAGCCCCAGATGATTGTGGAGCAATTTGTGGAATGAAGATTGGCAGGAGAAACCGAAGTACTCTGAGAAAACCTGCCCCAGTGCCACTTTGTCCACCACAAATCCCACTTGACCAGACCCGGGATCGAACCCGGGCTGCCACGATGGGAAGCCAGTGACTAACCACTTGAGCTATGGTGCAGCCATATAAATATATGTAGTTAAAGCTTTAGAGTTTCCCGGACACTCTGTATTGGAAAATGGTCATCTTGTGTGAACTAGCTAACAAGGGAGACATGTGTAATTACTGTGAAAATTCCTTATGGAAGGGTTTAGCAAATAGGTGCTTGGAACCAGAAACAGAGATGTCAGTTTGTTGATACATTTGAAAATAAAACACCCTTATGTCACTTGTATAAATCGTGTTGTTTTTTCATGATGGCTACTGATGAACTTTATGATGCAGGAGCACTGAGCAGTTTGTTACTAAAGGGAAATATACTAGAGATACAGTAGATTGAAAAGTTAGAATTATTTGAAAACTCAAAATAATCAAGAGAATGAAGAAAATGGAAAAGATTTAAATTTCTGAAGCATGTGGAACTTAGCACTATTATTGTAGCCTAAAATCAAGGTGTGACTGAAAAATAGATGATAGAAATTGCAAAATGGATACAAGCCAAATATTTAAATTAAGAATATGAATTATCTGAATAATTTTACCATGCTTGTGCCAATAGTATTCCTACAGAAGGCCAACACCATGAGTATCTGGCTACATTTTAAGCAGTGACAACACAATTTCGTCAACAATCATTAGAGAATATCCTTATGTAGATATGACAACTGCTGATAACGTTCATGAAAATGTGAAATTAATACTGGAACTAAATGAACCCTGCAGCATCTTCAATTTGGATGAAACTGGATTGTTTTACAACACTTAGTATAATAGAACACTAGCAATTAATGGGGATAGATACCCTGGAGGAAAGAAGTGTAAGACTAAGGCATAATTGTTAAAGTTATTGGCACAAGGCAAGAATTTGATTTCAAGATTTAAAATTACTATCTTAAACTGAGATAATTAGCTCATATTTTCATAAAGAGGGATGTAACATGATCATTAATATTAAATTGTGTATGTTGTGCATTAATGCCCAAGCTGAATTTGTGATTTTAGTGAGTGAATTATATGTATTATTATTATTATTATTATTGTTATTATAGGGGATCGGTTTCCCCATGCACTTAGACCAGTTATTGGTCCATTGTGCGTCCCCCTTTAATTTCTACTGTCGCCATATCCTACCGGTACTGGTGCGTGCTATCAGCCCCGTTCGGCCAACGAGGTCGACCCTCGGTACCTGATATTTCCCCCATCTTCCAGAGAGGCATTGGAAACTACTTGGGTGGGAAATGTGTTTCTTAATTTTGCTCAGAGGTCTCCTAGAGACATGAGGATCTTTTACATGCCGTAAATCTACGACACGGGACCCACAGCTTAAAGTCCCTCCTGGAGGACTTGTTCCCTGAATTTTTCCACCCTTAAAAATTCCACGACCTCCGCCAGGTTTGAACCCACGTACCTTGAGTCATGAGGTGGGAACGTTACCCGTAGACTACAGAGGCTGCTTAATTATATGTGTTTGTAATGCATCTTGCCAATTCTAAAGCTAACATTTTGTGTTTATCATTAGTACCAACTCCTATCAGAATTACTGGGTTTTTGGACTTTGTCCATCATCAGTATTCTAAAAACTAGAGAACATGTGTCAGAAACTGGATCTGTTTCCGCTCTCAGGTGAAGGGGAGATGCATACTCTGTTGGATCCCCCAGAAAGAGCTAACCACAATAACTGAACAACTCTTGTCACTGTGCTCAGAATTACTGGGTTTTTGGATAGTATATCAGTGTAACTAAAACTGTGTAATTGCCTGAGAACATGCTTTGTCAGAAGGAGATAACAGGAAAATATGTCCATGATTTATTTCAACCGTCTTCCAGTACATACACTCATCTAGCTCACTCCTCTCTCTCACACTACATGTTTCGGCACAAAAGTGCCATCTTCAGGTGTTTATTCGATTTACGATAAACTAGTTCACTGCATGCCTTGCCGTCTTCATATTAAAATAACTAAAATATATATTTATCATATATATTGATAAATATTAAATATTAAAAATATTAAAATTGTTCAGGATTTTTCATCCCTACGTCGTATCTCACTACGCGAGTCACACNGAACAATCTACAAATATTGGCTACAATTAATTATAACAATGTTACGGGTTTCCACTTTTTACAAACCCTACAACAAAATCTCTTAACACTATCTTCCAGAGTCTTCACGTATTAATAGCGCGGGAGCTATACAAGTCTCCCTGAATTACACACTCCAGATATGACTGGTTATCACTTGTTAGCGCACACGCGGCTGTAGCTTGTAACTTTCGAACTGAGAACTCGTTGATAACACACTGACTCTCGCTTGCTGCTCAGCCGGTTTTTATTCCGTTCGCTGTTGCTAGTGTGATGTGGCGTATAGCCTAGGACGCTGTTACCCCTTGGTAACCGTCACCGCTGTTGACTCGCTTTGCATAGCTTCAAGGTTGCGGGGACTAGGCTAACGTCGGCTCCGCTCTGCTCACTTCGGCTCCGCTCATGACGTCACCGCGGGGAGAGTTGCGGGGTGATTACTCGCCTATTACGCGATCGCTACGTTACCGCTATGTGCACCTAAAGAGGTAGGGGTCAACATGTCACACCATGATAAATATATATTTTAGTTATTTTAATATGAAGACGGCAAGGCATGCAGTGAACTAGTTTATCGTAAATCGAATAAGCACCTGAAGGTGGCACTTTTGTGCCGAAACATGTAGTGCGAGAGAGAGGAGTGAGATAGATGAGTGTATGCACTGGAAGACGGTGGAAATAAATCATGGACTTAAATCAGTGCAACAGGACGCTAAAATATAACATTAGGAAAATATGCAATAAAAATTGTGATGAAGCATGCACATGCCTGAAAGTAAGATAGAAAGGGAGGTGAAAGATTTATGCAACAAACGAAAGCCGTGAAAACCCATGCATGGGATCAAATTGAGAATTTTGTGAAACCATTTTGTGCCTACTGCTAGCACCATCTGTGGAGTAGAAACTGAACATGCAGGAGTATTACCTAATAGAAATCCTTGAAGAATCTGTCACAGCATTCTGATCTCCATGAGCTGGCAATCTCATTGCTGTTGAGGGTAATCCAGATGGGAGAAATGTCCAGACTGGATTAGCTGATTGGATTGGTTAAGCATGCCATATGAGCTGATTTATTGTATTTTCTATATGTGCAGTTACTTTCAATTTCTAAAATCCTATCTTCATCCCAGCCTACCCTGTGACCCTCTTCATAAGTATGTTGGACTAATCATGATTAGTGGATCCAGTTTCCAAAGTTGTGTTCTCTAGTTTTTAGGATGCTGGACAGTAGACAGTCCAAAGACCCAGGAATTCTGAGTGTTACACACGATTGCCAGAACCCTTTAGAATTTACATCAACTCTTATGCTCAGCATGTAACTCTGGGATGAAAGTTGCATAATTCCAATTTATTTTAATTCAGAATTTGTATTTTTCAATTCAGTTAGTTTTAATGTAACTGTGTACTGTACCTGTCCTTGGTTTTATATCCAATTTCATGTCATCATGCTGAATATTGCTCCTGCTTCATATTTGGGAGTTCCCAGATTTGAATCTTCACCGAGAAACTGGCTGTCCTAAATTAGATTTCTGTGATTTTTCTGTACTTCTATAAAATTCTGTAATACTATCTCAAAACTAGGTTATGGCTGCTTCCTTTCACAACCTTTTCAGTTCCATTGATGTGTAACTTAAGCTACCTACAGTGTTATTAAATAAACTTCAACTAAATGAACATATAAAGAAATTGTTGCACAACATATGAAAATAGAAAATGCCGAAGGATGGTCATTTTTATAAGTGCTGTTTCATCCTAATACCAATGTATTGGACCAGAACATGCATGTAGACCAAAACAGAGCCATGGGTGGATTCCAGCACTTCTGAACTGAAGCAGCATGAGTGTTTAGTAAAAGACAGTCGCAAGATCTTTGAGGAAATATTTTAAAAATTCAGTTTAGAGTGCTTTGGCCAAGTTATATGAATGGAAAGTAATACACCGAATACAGAAAATGTTAAGAAAACTTATAAAATTGAGTAAAAGGTGCACAAAAAAATTGGCCCAGACAAATACAGTAGAAATCATAATTTAGAGGTGAGAGTGATAACAGGTCTACAAAATGAGGGCTTGCAAAGTAATATGATTTGTGCGACCTCTCGTATTTTATATGAATCTGTTCACGTAAGTATAGGTCTGTTGTAGTTGCAGTTTATGCTATGAAAAGTCTCATCACTTGACAGCATAATAGAATACAAACTGTGCATTTCAGTGCATTTCATTGAATTTGATGGTGGAGTAGTTAGGATGTATACTTGATGGTCCTGGTGCACGGACTGGTTAAAGCGCATCCCTTATTCATTCATAGAAGGTATACATGGAAGGCCCTTGGCTCAAATCTTGGCAGAACATAAAGTATCATGACTTAAATGTTCATGCTTTTACTTAGTCTCTTCACGTAAATGCCATGATAATATCTTGGAAGGTTTCTTCCATGTTGAAATTTATTCCCTATTCATCATCATACTGCCATTTCTTATTCACTGATATATACACTCTGTAGTTGACATTGTTTTTAAATAAAGCTCAGAATGCAATCTTATTCTTTTTCTAAAGGCACTAGTCTTCCTGTGTGATGTGTTTCTGCTGACTGTGATAATACTGTCTGGATGTGACTGCTTCGTACCGACACTAGACAGCATAACATCATCACGGGAGAATAGACTGCTGTTGTTTCCTCAGGCTCTACTCACTCTGCTTGCCAAAGAACAGTGGAAAGCAGTTGCATTGCAGGTTTGTTTCACCCTGTTTACAGTATTTTCTACAGTCATATAAATACCACACACTTTTTTATACACAAATTCAATTCCATACTTAAAATCTGGCAGCAACATGTGTCATGTTTTAGAGACAAATTCTAGAACCTCATTAAAAAGTTATGTCACGTGTTGGGTGTTTGTCACACGACAAATAACTTCACGCCGTCTTGGATCTAGCGAATTTATTGCACATTTACTCTTACACTTATACATTTCACAAGTACTGCCATCTGCAGTATCACAATTCTACTGCTCTCGGCAACTTCACGATCCACACTGTGTCACTCCTAATCACACTCTCACTCTTCTCACATACTGCTCAGCCAGCTTTTTATACCGTTCCCAGTTGCCTCGTGTTACCAGTGGTGTCCCCTGTTATGTCACAGTTGGAAGTGCTGTTACGTCACTGCGGGAGGTGGCAGACTGTTGACTGGCCTGTTACTGTAGCAGCGGAAATTGCTCCGACGCTGTTACGTCACCACAGGAGGGGGGGTTTCCTGCACAGCGCAAATACGTCACACTGCTCCCTTCTAAAGGTTGTTTGTCCCGAACAGCTTAACGGTTCATCCCTGTTCCTTTTTCTTCTGGTTGCTGTGCTTGCTGTGTCTCCTGTTATTTCGGCTACTCTTGCAGCGACTATTGTCCGGCTGTTACATCCTCCGCTCCCTTCTTAGGATTGTTCGTCCTGAGCAATTCCATGGTCCAGCGTTCATCGATCTACTACTTACTGCTTACTACTTTGTAAGGACCTTCCCACGAGGACTGAAGTTTCGGTGACTTCCCTTTCCTGCAGGCTGAGCGATAGAGCCAAACTCTGTCACCTTCCTGGTAACCTGCGGAGTTGGCCAGTTTATCATACCGAGTTTTCATCCAGTCACTGGCAAGCTTCAGGTGTTGTTGGGCATAAATGTGGATGTCGTGTAGATGATCCACCAAGTCTGCTGCATAATCGGTTGTGGGTGGTTCCTTGTCTGGGGGTACCCCAAACAGCAGGTTGCCGGGCAGTCTAAGTTCTCGTCCGAACACTAGGCTAGCAGGGGTCAAGGCCGTAGAGTCGTGAGTGGATGCCCTGTAAGCTAGCAGAAAGAAGAGTAACCTCTCATCTCAGTCCCTCTGGTGGGTTGTGACGACCTTCCGCAAGTGCTCCTCGATGGTCTTAATGTAGCGTTCCACCATGCAGTCCAACTTTGGGTGCAGGGGTGTTTTGCGCATCTTGCTCACTCCCAGGCGTTGCAAAACTTCTTGTAGCAGATGAGACTTGAAATTACGGCCTTTCTCACTGTGCAACTCCCAAGGTGTGCCGAAGCGGCAGAAGAAGTTGGCAACCAGAACTTCCGCTATTGTCAACGCTACCAGATTTGGAATGGCGTACACTTCCAGCCACTTGGTAAAGTAGTCCATAGCGATCAGTAGGTATCGGTTTCCTTGGTCACTTCGTGGGAAGGGCCCTGCGATATCAATTTCTATTCTCTTGAAAGGAGCCGCAACATTATACTGCTGCATTTGCCCACGATTCCTGGTCCGTGGTCCCTGACTGGCTGCACATGTGTCACACTATCGACACCATTTCTCAATATCGGCTTTTGCTTGGAGCCAGTAGAATCTATGGTGAACCTTATTCAAGGTTTTTTTAACACCCAAGTGACCTCTGGACGGTTCACCGCGTAGTTCACTCAGAACATCCTTCACCCTGCTCCGAGGAATAATTATCTGGGCTACTTGACATCTTCCATTGGCGGATTCCCATTTGCACTCTTTTATGCGTGGGACTGCAATCCAGCGATATCTTGCCATTCTGGTCACTGTCCGGTTTCTATCTCCAGTAGAATAGGCCCATTGTCTGCATCGTTTAGCTGTTCCTCTCTTAGGATAACCAGGTCCCAGCCAGCTGCTGTAGGGTTCCAATAGCACATATTTGCTTTACATCTGCCCGTGTCTCAACTTCGGCAGTGCACACATTGCTCATGGCAGGGTCGTCTAGAAAGTGTGTGGGCGTTGTTATGTTTCTGGCCTTGATGAAGTGAAGTTGTACTCTTGTAGGCGCTGTATCCAGCGCGCAGTTTGTCCTAAGTTCTTGAAACTCATGAACCAGGTAAGCACAGACTGGTCCACACACAGATGGAACTGTTGTCCATATAGGTACTTGTGGAAATGTTCCAGTGTTCTCACTATGGCAAGTAGTTCTCGTCAGGTGACGCATTAGTTCCTCTCTGCTTTGTTTAGCGTCTTGCTGAAGTAAGCTATGACACGCTCTTGTCCGTCCTGTATTTAAGAGAGTAATCCTCCAATTCCAATATTACTGGCATTTGTGTCCACAATGAACCTCTCTCCTGGTTACGGCCATGCAAGAATTGGGGCGGCACACAGGGCTGTTTTGAGCGTTTGGAAGGTGGCATCAACCTATGTGGTTCACTGAAAGGATTGCTTCTGCTCAGTGAGTTTGGTTAGTGGTTTAGCAATGTTCACAAAACCGGAAATAAATCGTCTGTAATACGTGCATAACCCCAGAAAGCTCCTAACTTCATGCTTATTCTTTGGTGTTGGCTATTCCTTCACGGCTTTCTGTTTCTCTGGGTTGGTGATTATCCCTCCAGGTGATACAGTATGTCCGAGGTAGCGTACCTCCTTCTGAAAGAGTTGACACTTCTCCAGGTTGAGTTTTAGGCGGGCTTCTTGGAACCAATTAAATACTTTTCACAGGTTGGTCAAGTGTTCTTGGAAAGTGCAGCCAATCACTACTACATCATCTAAGTACACGAGACATGAATCGTATGTGAGACCTTGCGGCACTGTCTCCATTAGGCCTTCAAATGTCACAGGAGTGTTGCACAGCCCAAAGGGCATGACTGTAAACAGCCATAATTCTTGCCCTGTCAAGAATGCCGTTTTCTCCTTATCATCTGGGTGTACATCTAATTGCTATCCGCTTTTCAAATTGAGAGTGAAGAACCACTTGGCTCCAGCCAGCGTGTCTAAAGTGTCATCAATCCGGGGTAGTGGAAAACGGTCATTTTTTGTGACATTGTTTAACTTTCTGTAATCCACACAGAAACAGACTTTTCCATTCTTCTTGACCAGAACGACAGGGGACGACCATGGGCTGTCTGATTCCTCGATAACCCCACAGAATTGCATATCGTCGAGCATCTCGCTGACCTCCACTTGCTTTGGTAGGGGCAGCCTCCTCGGGTGTTGGCAAATAGGTCGGGCGTCACCTGTATCCATACAGTAATACACCTGGTTAGTCCTCCCATAGTCTTTGTTATTTCCAGCAAAATATCCTGGTACTCGGTCAGGAGTTCTCCCAACTCATGAAATTCTTTGTTGGTTAGGTGTGGTTTGGCTTCTACAGTTATGTCCTCTAGTCTTGATCTTGGAACTTGGGCCCAGGTCTGCTTCACGTCTGGCGTAGTCACTAGTGTGACTGGCTCACAGTGTGCCAAAATGGATCCTCTCGTCAGCTTTTGATTCCGACAGGTAGCATTCAAGACCCTCACTGGTACCCCCTGGCGATCTTGAACTAAGGTTCTGGCTATGTAGATTCCTTCAGGTGGATGGGCCTGAGGTTTTGGTTTTACTACACCATTTTCTACTCCAAGGGGTTTTTCCATTCTGGCCATCACTATTCCCTCACACCATGTGGGTATTATGTGGTCCTTGACCACTGCTAGGCTGGAAGGACGAGGTCCTGCCCCTGGACTCCATAACGATATTTCTTCTGCCAGATGTGGCGTTTGGTGCCCTATGTCCACAGATGCATTCTAGGTGCGTAGTATGTCCAGTCCTGGAATGAACTCATTGGTGATATCTGCGATGAAAACCCACATTTTCAGTGATCACTGCCCCAGGGTCAGAGTTAGAAAAACTTCTTTCTGGATGGGGAGGGATTGACCAGATACCGTCTGCAGTGTGAAACGTTGGTCGGGCTCTTTTTCGGGCCATCCGTCGGTGATGTCTGGCCTAACCACAGTTACATACTCTCTGGTATCTATGGTCACCATGCCCGGTTTGTCACCGATCCATCCTTGGGTGACCAGCCTAGGATCAGCACTTTCCGTGATGACGGTCAATGCTAGATGGAGGGACTTTAATGCATACACCAGCATTCGCCCTTCTCTGCCGGTCGTCGCTCGTTTCCCGACAGTTGGATACCCTTCCTGTTCATGTGTTCATTGTAGCTTCTTGTCAATTCCCGTGTGTATCTACCTGGTCTATCTTCATGTTCTCGGTGCATTTCATTATTAGCCTTTCTTTCGTTACTCCTGAAGTGGCCCAGTTCTCCACAACTTCAGCACCTTCATTGTCTTCTGTCTCTTCGTTGGGTGGCGGGCGACTGGTACTTCCGGTAAATCTTGTTGCTATCTTCGTGAGGTCTATCTGCTACCAGTACCGCCTGCAGCTCTAGTGCTTGTCGGAGGGCCTCATTTACCGTCTTTTCCCCTCCCAGCAGCAGCTGAATCTTTATGTCCGCATTCTCGTATTCAATATACAAAGGCTTTTCCTGCCTCTCTTCCTGTGTGATCTGCAGGTAGAATGGGGTAGGCATGACGGGCAAGCAGTTCAATGGCCATGGCAAAGTCTTGCAGGGATTCTCAAGGTTTCTGTGTCCTTGTTCTTAATTGGCAGTGGTAAGCAGCTGCAAAGTGTTCGTCCCTGAAACGGTCTTCTAGTGACTGAAGGGTATCGTCATAAGCTGTATTTGTTGGAATGTCAGGTAGCACTTCTGCCACCTGACCCTTCAGAGCGGTAATTAGGTATGTTGATTTTTCCCGGTCCAACCATTGGTTGTGTTCTGCTATGGTCTCAAATTGAAGCTGGAACACACTCCACGTTGAATTCCCGTTGAATTTCGGTGGCTCAGCTGCGATCGCGCATACTACTGGTCTACTTCCTCTCGGCAAAAGTCTTGAATTCTTCCAATTGAGCCCGGAATTCACGTTTGGTTGCTTCAGTTGCTAAACAGGCTTCATTAAATGTTTCCAGTAACGTAAATGGGTGTATTCATGGTCTCTCAGTTGCTTAGACCTGATTTCTGTGAGGTCTTCTTAAACCGTCCTTTCCCATGCCATGAGAGACTCCTGTACTGTCTGTAATTCCGTCTATGTTTTTCCAATTTCTTCAGTAAGCTCCGTAAACTTTATGTCTGTTTTCTCTTGGTTTGCGGTCATCATCTTCATTTCTTTTAGGTCCCTTCGATTGGCCTTCATCTCTTTCAACATTTCCTCTTTGTCGATTTTTCTATTGGTGTCTGCCTTCACCTGTTCTCTTTTCATTTCCTCTTGCATGGTTTCCATCCTGTCCAGCAGGAGTTCCAGCACTTGCTGTGTATCCCTTTTTTTTTTTGGGGCAGAATAACACAGCGGAAAACACCTCGCTTCCCTGTTCCGTAATCGCTGTGTTTACAGGCGTTGCTGGACAACACTGCAGACAGTTGTTTATTGCTGTGTAGTAACCGCAGTGTCCCCTGTAACATCACTGTGGGGGAGGGGTGTTTACCGAGTGCTGTGTAATGAAGGAAGGAGTGGGGTATGTGACATCACTTGCTAGTACGCAGAGTTCACGTGACCCCTACTTCCTGTTGCATCATCCATGTCACAGTAATTTAAAAGGCCAACTTTCCTAATTGCATATTTACTCGAGTGTCACGAATCCCATCATGGTTTTAAAACAGTGAAGGTATTCAGTCGTTTGAGCATGACTGAAGGTGTATTTTTAATAGTAACTGTAATCATGTGTTAGTATGCTAGTTTATAATGTAAACCCAAATCCAAAGGATATGGACATGTATTCATGTCTTGGGGCATGAAAGAAGTACCCATCCTACAGATGGGAACTGATAAAATAATACAAATATATTGTCACATGTTGGGCATTTGACGTAACAAATAACTTCACGCCGTTCTGGATCTAGCAAATTTATTCCACATTTGCTCTTACTCTCACACAATTCACAATTACAATTACTGCGATCGGCTTTATCACAATTACTTCCACTGCTCTCAGCGATGTCACAGTCCACACCGTGTCACTCCTAATCACACACTGCTCAGCTGGCTTTTTATACCATCCCCTGTTGCCTCATGTTAACAGCGGTGTCCCCTATTACATCACCGTGGGGGGGGCAGAGTTTTTACTGGCCTGTTACCATAGCAGCAGCAGTGGCTCCGATGCTGTTATGTCACCTCTGGTGGGGGGGGGTTCTTCTGCATGTATGTAACAAGCCTTTCATGGTCAGATTCCCTGACAGAAGTGAAAAGGAAGATGGGTTTCAACTTGAAGAAAAGCAGGGTACTTAGGTACACAGTTCTGAAACAAATGAATACATTAGGGCAGGGGTGTATGGATATGACAAGCAGAAAAGGTTTAGCTTCATCCATGGGCAATCCACCATAACATTGGCATGTGCTGTGGAGAATGCAGATATGAGACACAAGAACAGAAACATCTGTAATCTATCTGAAAGTTAAACAGTGATTGGAGTTCTTGGGAATTAACAAATCAACTCAAAACTGGTCTGGGACTGTCATCAGTCCACTGTGAAACAGAACATAACAGAGTTAAACCGATATGAGTGCCAGGTCACAGAAGACTCAAGGATAATGAAATTGCTGTCTAACTGGCAAGATTGGGAACTGAATGGCCATCTATAGGACCTGAACCAGCATATGGCGTCTCAGCAGGGGTTACCAGCAAGGCTGTTGGACTGGACGGAGACAACAAAAAAATGTTGGGAGTCCATAACAGCATTCAAATGTGCAAAGGCTTTCCCACAATAACTCTGCCCCCCCCCCCAAAAAAACTAGAACTACTGAAAGTAAATAGAAACCAGTTATAGTCAGTGACAGAACTGCTTGCAGGACATTGTCACCTGAAAGGATACATTTTTAAATTGGGATTAACCAAAAGTACCACTTGCAGGACATTGTCAACTGAAAGGACACCTTTTTAGATTTGGATTAACCAAACATTCCACTTGCAGGACATAAGTCACCTGAAAGACACCTTTTGAAATTGGGATTAACCAATAGTACCACTTGCAGAAGGTGCTTGGAAAAAGATAAACCAGCCTCATATATCTTCTCATTGTTAGGCTATAGCTTACTTAAGATTTTGTCATCTGGGACACTGCTTTATGGAACCAGTTGACTACTTAGATGCCTATAAGATACTACACTTCCTTTGAAGTATAAAATTGTTG